CACCGTCGGGATGGTGCTCAGGACCCTCTGGAAGGCGCTCAGCACCCTCGGGACGCATCCTGCACCCTCTGGAACGCGCTCAGCTCCCTCGGGATGGATCCAGCACCTTCTGATTGTCCCTCAGGCCCCACAGGGCGATCTAGAACCTCAGCACCACTCAGGACTCGGCAGGATATTCTGGAACCCCCAGGGTGGCTCCAGAACCTTTGGAAGTCTTTCAGGAACCTTTCATGGACCTTTGGACCCAAACCTGCACCAATCTTCCTCTTTTTTTTCCCTTTTTACCCCATTGTTAGCCCAAATTTTGTCTCTTTTTTTCCCATTTTTAACCCAAATTTGGACTCATTTGATTCTTTGGGGCCTCTTTGGAACCAAATCCGGACGAATTTTGGGAGTTTCACCCATTTTTGCCCCAAATTTTGTCTCTTTTTTCCTTTTTTATCCCATATTTTCTCTTTTTTTCCACTTTCCCCCAAAATTTTGTCCTTTTTTTCCCCATTTTTTCTTCCAATTATCTTTTTTTCACAGTTTTTAGCCCAAATCTTCTTTTTTTTTTTCACTTTTCCCTTTAATTTTATTTCTTTTTCCCCATTTTTATCACAAATTTTCTCCTTTTTTTCCACTTTTCCACCAAATTTTGTCTCTTCTTTTTCCCCTTTTTCCTCAGATTTTCTCTTTCTTTTCGGTTTTTCCCCCAAATTTTCTCATTTTTTTTCCACTTTCCCCCCAATTTGGCCTCATTTTCCCTTATTTTGTAATCTGAGCTTAGCAGGCACCGGGGGCATCCTAGCTGTGTCTCTTGGCTTCCTTTGCTACCTTCCGCTGTGATTACCCTGGCACGGGAACTGTTGAGTCGTGGACTATACGATGAGATACTTCCTGAGATGGGAATAAATTCCAGCTGCAGCAAGAAAACCAAGAAAAGACCATACAGGGGGCAATACCATTTTAATAGTCTCCAAATCTCCAATATGTGAAAGAAAAAATAATAGAGTGTGGCAGTATACAGCCATTACCAAGAGAAGCAGTGTTAGTCAGCTTCTCAATGTTGCTTTTTAGTATTAGGAAAAGGGAGTTTAAGGAAAAACATTTGGCCTAAAACTTATCCGTAAGTTGCTGGGGGTTATAGGAGATGGAACCTGACACTCAGTAAATTGCATGAGAACCGCAGCTTAAGTTACTCGATGTCTTCTGGCCTCACAGGATGAGGCAGAGGTATAACCGATTTCTTCTCTGTATCTCTGGAAAGAGCTTTTCTCATATCTATAGCAAAAGGAAAAAATGTTATAATAGTAACAGTCATTATACAAAGCCATATTAAGTGAATACTCCATTAAAATAAGATAACTTTTAATCAAGGAAATTTCCTAGAATCGTAAGACTACCTCAAGTTGGAAGGGACCCATAAGGATGCAACTCCCTGCTCCACACAGTACTACCTAAAATTATACTGTATGATTAGAACACTGTGCAGCTATTCCTTGAGCTCTGATGGGCTTGGCGTTGTGACTGTTAATTTATAACAGTCAATTTAATGTTAATTTATAGGTAGACATCTGAGAAAAACCAAGTTTCAAGTCCCTGTTACGGGATGAAAGGAAGAAAGCACTGAGATTCTTTCTTGTTTATTCTTGTTTTGCAGTTTATTTTGCTGGAGATGCTACAAAATGTGTAAATGGCAAGATTAAGTTTCGTAACTGATATAATCTTAAGTAGGAAAAGTTATCTAAAGGAGGATACAAAAATCCCATTAATCAGCAACTATCTGAAATTATTTCACATACCAAAAAAAGAATAATTGTCTTACAAACAAGCTCAGGAACCCTCAACATGAGAATCGCTCCATTCAATTTGAGACCGAACGAGAACTTACCGTAAGCGTCTTCATCTGGCTCCCCACTGCTAGCTGAGTAGTACTCTAAGACTGTCCGGTACACACTGTAGCCTAGTTGCTTATACATATTTACAGCAACCTGATTTGATACTCTCACAAAGAGATCGACAAAAAATCCACCCTTTCTTTAGCAGGGGAGGGAAAAAAAACAAACAGACAAAACCACATTAAGGAATAGTAGGTAAATGTATTTCTAAGTAAGAACCCATAAATTGTAATGAAACCAAAGCAAGTCTGATGTAGTATGCTAATCAAACATCTTTCACAATGCAATAACAGATACACTCCTTTACCAAGGGAAAATTCAACTATAGACATGGGTTTAATTTTATTTTTGTCACACGGCCCTTCTACAACAGTCAGTGGGCTCAGAAATTTGAACAGAAAGAACAGGACAAGCTAAACACCCCCACAGGCCTAAATCCATATGACATGATTAAAGAAATATCCAGATTTTTTATTGCTTGGATTAGGAGGAGTGGAATCAGTTATGAAATGCAGTTGCCTAACAGGAGATGATAGACCCTTAACTTCACAAGGCAAATTTTTCAAAATGTTGTACTATTTTTCCAATTTTCCCATTTTTCCAGTGATTGCCCTACCAGAATCAGTTAGGGGCATTTCCCAGTTGGTTCATCTGACACTGAATTAAATTTTCTAAGGTACAAGTAACTGAGCACGGGATGGCAAGTAAGCTAAGATACTCTCTGCAGTGCAAAATCTGTTCAGGACTGTGCCTGAGGGCATTGTACAAAGCCCAGTTACTGAACAAGTACGTTGGAGGCCCTACAGGAAACAGTGCTGACGTTTCACAAAGCTCTTTTCCTGTAAAGAAATTTTCTTTTATGGAGTATCTCTACTGGAATTCAGGCTACGTCCTTAGTCTAGCAATTTAGCTTTCAGAGAAACCCTGAGATTTTAAACTGCTAAGCAACTTTCATAACTCCTCCAACTATGAGGAATTTCAGAAAATTACAACACCAGTAAAGCAAAATTCTGCCACATAAACCAGGGACAGGTGTCTGTAGAAATACTGGTTTAAAATATTACTTTAAAAGATAAATTTAAAAATAGACATACTACTCACTTTTCTGAAATTTCTTCCAGGAGCTCCATCAATTTAGCAGCCAAACCCAGCCGTCGAAATTCTGGTGCAACAGAGAGAGCAGTAACGTGTCCGTGCCATTCTTCCCTAGCCACAGAGCCTTCAGCTTTGCCCATGACTGTGAACATACAGAGCATCAGTGCAGCAGCACCTCTGGAGTAATGCATTGCCCGCAGCCAGACAACTTCACGAGAGGAATAAGCCATGCGTAAACATATGTCACAATGATTATGGTAAAAGCTAAAACAGGGATGTCTACCTTTTCACTCTAAGATTCAGCAGCCACTAAAAATGTCATTTTGCTCATATATTACAGCAGTTCCTTGACTAGTGTTAAAAAAACACCAAACAAGTTTGCAAAGTCCTTGCTGGAGGTGACTTCTAAATGCAAATTTCAAGCAATTCTCACAAGTCTTTCCCTGAACCAAAATTTAAAACGGGACTAAAGTAAAGGAGGAGCAAAGGGCTAGAAAACTACCAAAACTACCATCCTAGCCACTATTTGAGACTTTTGGAAATTATAGGGGAATAGAGCTTGGGAAGCTTTGCCAATCTGGCAATAGAAAGCTAAGGCCCTGCAAACAGGATGTGTTTAAGGGGGGGGAAGTGGAGGTGGGGATGGTGTTTTGGTTTTTTTTTTTCCCTAGTTTCTCTCCTTTCTACACTGGGCCAATCCAATGCTAGTTTATTAATGAACATTTACACTTCTACCCTGTGCTTTTATAGATATCACAGTCACTGCTAATAAGCAACAAGTGTGGTGGGTACAGAGAAATGTTCTGTACAACACATGTATTTTCAGCTTCAGTATTAGACAAATAGTTTTATTTTCTGGGTCCCTGCAGAAACCCTTACTCTGCCCCACCCCGCCTCCTGGCAATTCTCTTTGGCATGATTTATGAAAAACACAATTATTCCACAGCAAAATAGCAAATGACATCCAGGCCCAGAGCTTTCCCTTACAGAGCAATGCAAAACGCAAGCCCAGTACTTTTACTGACTGTAAAGGCAGTGTAGGGACTTAACTTCTGATTACAGAAATACCCATTCATCAAATACCGGTGGATGTTACCACAGCCAAGGCTCTCCGCTGCGCTAGGAACATCAAACTGGAAGCTACGGCCACGAGCGCTGCATAATACCCTCAGACATTTAAGAAAGGGGAAGATGCAACGCAACGTTGCTCTTCCGTGTTGGGTATTCGGTGAACGCGAAGAGTAAGAAAAGCTCCAGCGTTATAATCCCCGTAATAGGTAACGAAGGGAGACGTTACCGCCGGAACACCCGGCACTCACTGTAACCCATCAGCTCCCCGCCGGGCGCCTCGGCGACGATGAAATACTCGGGCCAGTGGGCGAGGTACTGCAAGTAGAAGGGAATCCCGTACTGGGCGCTCGGTTAAGGAGCAACTGCGGCCGCCACGGCTGCGCCCGACACCGCGCCCCTGCCCCGGCGGGAAGGATACGGTTTCGGTCAGCGGGTCCAGATTGCTGTGGCGGAAGAGAGAGAGCGGAGCTCAGCACGGGCCCGCGCCCGGGCCCGCCCGGCCGGCGGGGCGCCCCGAGGACCCCGCGGGGTGGGGAAGCGCGCAGGGGTTCGGGGGCAGGGAAAGGGGACAGCCTGAGCTCACATGTTGTTGAATCGGAAGAGGTCGTCGCAGGTGAAGGCGCGGAGCGTTGTCATGATGATGGTAATCACGACGGCGACGCTGAAGGTGACGGTAATGGCGCTGCCCCGGAAGCGCTCCAGGGCCCAAGGAACACTTCTGCCACGGAAAGGCGGCAGCCGGAGCGCCCCGCCCCCTACGCAGCCCTGCCCCGCCCCGCAGAACCGCCCCGGCCGCGCCCCCGCCTCGCAGCGGGGCCCCGATCCGGCCCGAGAGCTGCCGCGCGGGCCGGGCCGAGCAGGGGTGGCGCGGGACCCTCTACCCGGGGCAGCGGGCGGCCGGCTGGCACGGCTGAGCCGGCCCGTAGTGGCGTGAGGCGCGGTGTGACGGGGCCCAGCGGGGCCGCAGTACTGGGAGTGGTATGATCTTGTGCAGCTCCACCCCGAGCACACACCGGCTACACGTAACACGACGTGACCGTAATATGCGAGACTACCATAAGCAGAAAAAAACAACTCTGGATCGGGAAAGATACCGCCAGACGAGGCCGGACACAGGCGGGAACTGCTGTGCCCGGCACATGCTCGCCTCATGTGGACTGAATCCTACGCCTGCTCTCAGCACCAGAACATGACTGATCCTAAACACCCCTCACCGCTGCACTGATGTAAGCACCTCGCCCGTCCTGCTCTGCAGTCTCTCCACCTTATCCCCTCAGACCACTGGCTCTTCGACTTTGCTTTCAGAGGGCTGTGCATCAGAATCCATCCTCAAGAAGGTCAACATGGATTTAACTGGGACGCTGCTACCATCGGCAGATAGGTGCCTCTTCATCCTTTGCAAAAACACAGGGCTGGAGGTCATGCCAGCCAACCCTGACCTCTTCCAGAAACACGCTGTACTCAGCGGTGGATGATACTCCGCTCACCGGTTGCACAGCACCTCCTGTGGCACCCAAAAAACCAAAAAGACGAGATGTCCACTACGCCCATAAGCATTCGCCTACTCCACACAGCCTGCCGTGCCATTCGTCTCACCTCCATCGGTGTAATTCAAACGCGGAGCTATTTCTGAACGGTTACCACTGCACGGGACCCAGATCACTCTAGTTATTCTGAAGGAAGGTTCTCTCAAAAGTTTGAGGCTATACCGCGGGTTTGATTTTTGTCTTTGAAAATCCTGCAAGAGGTGCAGCGAATGGAATTTGGGTACGTGTCTTGGGACAATGAAAGGTGCCTTCCTTGACCTGGAATTTGGTATCAGGAGATGCTGGCAAGCCTACGCCAGGCAGAGCGTAGCCTGTCAGATTCGAGATCTGTCAGACTTCTGATAATTTAAGGGTCAACATTTTGGTAGGAGGAAGTTGATTCAAGGTCTGTAGTTGTGGTGCAACAGTGATGTGGGATTTCAGAGCTGCTAGAAGCAGAAAGAGACTATGCTTTTCAGGATGGTGGTGGAGGTGTGAGGGGGGGATATGAAACTTGGAAGAAGGAATAGACCATTTTAAGGCTGGTTCTTGGTCCTTTGAGGTGTTAGGAAATTTAGCTTTAGAGTGCTCTCCCGCTTGAGGCATTCTTTTCCTGCAGAACACACCCTTAAGAGGAGAAAAAGCTCAACCGTTCGCTTGACCGCCGTGACTAAGGCACTTTCCAGCCAAACCAGACCTCAGGCTGTTCTGCTGTACTGCCTTTATGTCTGAAGTGCTAAAAGGCACTTTGTTACTGTGACTGAAGTTGGTTCAAAACCTGGTCATGGCTAGAGTATTCTTTGCTATTATCAAATTAATTCCCAATATTGTAGCCTAAACCAGTATTTTCTATTCATAGAGTCTGGGTTTATATGTCAAATGACTACACATCTGTGCAGGCCAAATCTTGGGTAGCTATCTCTGCTGAGTGAAGTTCAGGTGAAACTACTTCAGGCCTTACTTAAGCATAAGTACAGAGATTAACCAAGACTTCTTCCCCTTCATAATTACCTTTTACTGTATGTTACAAGTGGAATATCATTCAGTCTCAGCTAGCATGTGTAGAATGTAAATTAAGAGGCAATTTTAGCACTTCTATGAAGACAAAGAGGATTTCACCCTTCAGAGAACAAGTATTTCCCACAGATAGTTTTATTTTCAATTACAACATAATCAAGTATTGACAATTAGTGTCTTAAAAGCTACAGAAGCAGGATTTCAGCCCAGCAACAAATGTAGAATCAACTCTATGTTCAATTACGAGTCACTGTCCAACGGAGACTTTCTCTAGAATGTTTAATGTTAGCAAGATTCACTGAACGTAATCAAGGTATGCTGTATTTCAAGCATCGGTGGAATTCTGTCTAAGGGACTCATCAATAAATGAAGACATTTATATATATTAGAAAGAACCATAAACATGGCTTCACTGGTATCAATTACTGTGAGAAGAAGCAGCTGTTTCTCAGTACAGAAAACTGATGCATGAACATGGAAAAAAACATGATGCATGAACAGGAAAAATTAAATACGTAAGTGTGTGGTATTAAGTGCGTGGCTTAGGTAGAATCTTACTGTGTTTTTTGTTTGTTTGTTTGGGTTTGTTATTGTTGTTTTGGTTTGGGTCTTTTTTCAAGTGCATGATCCACTATGGAAAGAGGCCTGTATGAAGATCAGTACCAGCATGGTTGATATTCAAGGGATAGAAAAGCTAAGCATTCACACAGTCAAGCTTTGATTTGAATATTATATTAAAAAAAAAAAAAAGCCAAGGCCCGTACATTTAGATACAGAATTTAAATGTTTCTACACATCTTAGAATACAACCAAAGAACATGTTATACTCAGATTATGAGAACCAGCATGTTCTGATACAATGTATAAAGTGACAAAGTCCACAGCAAAGCTATTGCTTCAGTTCCAGAATGTAAACGCATCCAAAAGAAGAATATGCAGACGGTTTCACAGATGAGATAAGTAAAACAAAGCAACTGGTCATATAAACCTTTTGTCTCTACAAGGCCTAGCTTACAAGCTCAGGCTGCACGTTTCTTCTTCGAAGGATGTCTTCTGGCATACAAAAGACAGGATTAACGGCCTTAATTTGTTCTTCTCCCAATAAAGATAGTCCAGCAATACCATATAAGGTGTGAAATGGATCCACCTGGGAAAAAAAAGAAAGCTTGTGTCCATTTACAAAAGTCAATTGGTTTTTCACTTGTATAGAATGAAGTTTTTGTTTGCCAACAAGAAACTGAAAATCTCTGTGGCTGGGGAGGACAATACAACTGAATGATCACAGGATTTTATGCATCTTTTATTTAGAAAAAATAAATACTACTTACCATATCTCCCGGTCTGTCAGCAAATCCTTCGGTCTCCTCATCCTGGCAAGCCAAAATAAAGCAGCGCAGTTTCTCTCTGTCAATCAATCCACTGTATCCTACCAATCATCTTCAAAGAAGCTAGCACCCACCACGAATAAAATACATCAGGTAACTGGCAAGCATAGAAGCAGATTAATATTTCATTTGGTTTTAAACATAACGTTGCAAATTTTACTGATAATTCTGCACATTATCAGGTGCGCTGTCATAATACTCTTGCAGAGACACAACACTTAAGAGTGTCTTTGGAGTAAAAGACTTTCTTGACAGCGTCTCTTTTTGGTGGGCTTCTGTCTTCAGGAAGGGAAAATATCTTTCTCAAACTTCTTCCCTTCGTCAAGAAACAAGACCACAAGAATGTGATTTTTAAAGACTTTACCTTCTGTGAGAGATGCTGAAAAACCATGGCACTTTTTTCAAGAGAAAATACAAAGAAGTTCATATCAACTATTTGTATTTTGGGGGCAAGGGCGGAAGCAGGGGAATCTGCTGATTATCTATTTGCCAGAGATTTTTCTAGGTTACACAAATTTCTAGTGTGATGTGGAACACTATGACACAGGATTTACATCCAGTAAAACAGTAATTTTTATACAAATCCTATGGAAAAGATCATTCCCAAAGTCAAAGACCCAGTTTCACGGAACAACGGTTCAAGTGGTGACCAAAACATCCTTTAGTAAGTGTACTTTCCTACATTGAGGACTCAAACAAAGCACAGCTAAGGACTGCAGGACAGGTGTTAGTAACAGAAGGAAGAATCAGGATGAAGGCCTGACTTCTTTGAAAAGTTTACTAAATGTTTTGTGGAAGTTGTGACATTTTGCAGAAGTTCAGCTTCAGAAAAAAAAATCTCTATTGAGGTTTGAACAAAGAAAAGAAGCCGCACAGTACCTTCTCTGGTTGTCCGTTGAGACCTCCGGAAGATAACTGACGTTTGCAAAGCCTGAAAATCAACATTTACTTGATGCAACTGGTCTGTTATAGCAAGAAATCCTGTGCAACAATACATCTAAAATTACAGACATAATTTTTTTGTGTATTTAAAAACTAAATACAGTTTAGCAGACTAAATGCAGGAAGATCTCAAAGCAGCAATACAGTCATGTAAACGATGCACAATGAGGTCACACACACTTCAACTTTTCATTTCAAAGACTGTTCCTTCAGGAAAGCATGTTATTGTTACAGTTGCTTTTGTAAAAAAGTACCAGTAACACAATTTAATGACATAGCAGTAGTATTTTACTAATATAAGACACTGATGCAAGGTTTGAAAAGTGACCCTAGGAGATCTGAGAGAGCCATGTAATTTTATTTTAAAAACACAGACTCTCAAGCCAGAGCAGTCAAACTGACTTCTGCAGGATGGATACGGTCTTTGTCAAAATTTTGCATCCAGTCTATGGTTTCTTCCTGTACCTGCCTTTTAACGCTTGCCGAGAGTAATCAAAAGACCGAATGAAATCCCAGGCAGAAACAGGCTAACCTGGTTCATTAACTATCTTGGTAATTCCCTCTATGTTTGGTCATGTCACGCCTACTTTCAGTGTGCCATGTAATACATCTGCACTGATTAATTCCCTTTTAATAATTAATTTAAAAATTAATAGTCTTTTCCTGGGAGATAACATTTATGGTGCAACAGCATACTTTGGTCACATTTCATGCAGTCTCTAAGAAAGCACTGAAGCACAAAAAGCAAAGAATTGCAAAATCATTAAGGCTGGAAAAGACTTCTAAAATCATCAAGTTCAACCTTTAACTTAATACCACCAAATAACACTAAACCATATCACGAAGTGCCACATCTACTCATTCTTTGAACACTTCCAGGGATGGAGACTCCACCGCTTTCCTAGGGAGTCCGTTCCAGTGATTAATCACTCCTTTGGTGAGGAAATTCTTCCTAATATCCAACCTGAATCTCCTTCGGTGCAACTTGAGGCCATTTTCCCCTGTCCTGTTACTGACTGACTGGAAGAAGAGGCCGACCCCCACCTTGCCACAACCTCCTTTCAGGTAGTTGTAGAACATTAAAGTCTCTCCTGAACCTTCTTATCTCAGGACTGAACACTCCAGTACCCTCAGCTGCTCCTCACAGGCCTAATGTTCCAGTCCCTTCCCCAGCTGCATTACCCTTCTCTAGACATGCTCCAGCGCCACAATGTCCTTTTGGAAGTGACAGGCCCAAAAGTGCCTTTGGGCACTTTGGGCACTTTTTGGACAGCAACTGCCCTGCTCAGTGACCACAGCGACCACACTGTGGCTGCTACAGCCAAAGGCCTTCTTGCCCACCTGCGCACACCCGGCCTGATGTTCAGCTCCTGTTGACCAGCACCCCTAAGTCCCTTCCTGCTGGGCAGCCTTCCAGCCACTCTTCCCCAAACCTGGAGCACTCCAGGGGGTTGTTGTGACACAAGTGCAGGACCAGGCACCTGGCCTTGCTGGACATCACACAGTTTTCCTTGGCCCATGCATCCAGCCTGTCCAGACCCCTTAGCAGAGCCTTCTGCCCTCACATGAATCAAAACTTCCACACAAGCTGGTCCTTCCTGGGACCTTACTGAGGATGCACTTGATTCCTTTATCCAGACCACTGTTGAGGATATCAAACAGGACCAGCCCCAAAACTGAGCCCTGGAGAATCCCATTTGTGACCCTTCGCCAACTGGATTTAACATCATTTCCCACCACTCTCTGGTCTGGCCACGCAGCCTATTTTACTTCCAGCCAAGACTGCACATATCCAGGCTGCTGGCTGCAGCTTCTCCGGGAGAATGCTGTGGGAAAGCATGTCAAAAGCTTTACTCAAGCCTTTTTTACTTTATCCACTCCCTTTCTCTTTCACTAGGCAGGTCACCCAGTCATAAGAGGAGATCAGGGTTTGGCAATATTCCCAGAAAACTACTGAACTTCCATGGAGGTGAAAGAGACCTTTTTAAGGAGAATGAATAAGCTCAACAGATCTAATCCTCACAGGAAATGCCACCTGCAAACAGAGTGGGTTCAGCTATTGAACTGACTTCCTTGAACACTAGAACACGGTCCAGCCACTTAGACTATATGGGTAATGCTACTGTACATAGAACTATAAGTAAGTACATGTAACAGATTTAACTTTTTTCCCCTGATTTTAAACAAAAAAAGAGACAGGAAACCTAACACTTGTCAACAAAATGGCTCTAGCATTTTCACATGATGAGGTGAATCCTGGCTATGGCATTATGGCACTCACCACAATTCTTATGTTGGTAACTGCAACAGCATTAGAAGTTGATATTTTTTTCACACATTCAGGTTAAGTGCTCTTCTATGAAAAGAAATAGAAACAGGAAAGGTAAATTAAAATTTTAAATAATTTAAATTATGTCAATTTCCTGTTGAAAGAAGTTATTTAGATTGTCTTCCTCAGGGGATCCCTTAATTTGTTCTAATAATACTACTGCATTTTCTTCTCAAGTAGATTTTACTGAGCTTTTTTCAGAATTCACTGTCACCAATAACAGTGCGTAACACTAGCGATTCTAGCTGATAAATATTCCCGTTACTAAGTTAGGTATGTCATCCTTAAATGGACTTTCCTCAAAAAATTAAGTAATGCTTGACAGGACTCATGTCTCATTTTTATTAGGGGTCACTGGCTGATAAATCTCAAATGCACTATACAATTGACCTTTAAGTCTCATTATGATCTGTGTCAGAAACAGTGATAAATCTTATCCACCATCTCCATTGATACCCTTTTCAAATCCTCTAAAAATCCTGATGCTAGCAGTTTCAATATCACTATGGGAAGACTGAAATACAGTCATAAAAGCAGTTCCGTTATGATCTTTTTTTTCTACTAGACTAAACTCTTGAGTTTTGACTCGTCTTCTCAGATTAGGTTACGTATCTGTGCAGTTATTTTAACTAAAATACTAGAATCAGGCATTTGGGGAACAGATTTGGTACATTGATTGTCATCACTGATACACGTTGTATCAGTTATAGGCAGTACGTGATGCTTGCTAGTTTAAAATATTTCCATGTAAGGAGAAACTCACCTGTCCTCCATGTGATTCGGAAGCTAGGCTACAACCAAATCCTCCATCAAAGTTCATAAAGGACAAAACAAATTCTACTGCTTTTTCCACATCAGTAGCATCCAGCTTTCCCTGCAAGTCAGAAAATAACTAATGAGTTTGATATTCTACCAAGCTCATCTGCAGAAACTTCAACAGTACCAAAGAGCAGTACCATTCAATTCTCCGCTTGTGCAAGTGATGGTTTAGGACTTACCAGAAGTGCAAGAGTTGCTGCAGCACAGAAAGAGAATCTTGTATCTATTTCTCCTATAATGTGGGGGGGTAAGGAATTAAATAAGATTATTTTTTCGACAAACATACATTTAAATCGCTACCGAAAATACGAAACAAAAATGTTAAAATCCTAGGCTCTGCATCGAAAAACAAAAATCAGATAAAAAACTCTCCCCATAAAATTTAATCTTCCAGCTAATCAATTATTTCCGCACTAATTTAGAAAATATACGTTACCATTTAAGTGATCTGTACGTTTTACTATGCATAAAAACCAACAACTCATTTAGAGTTGGACAGCTATATATCCAAATCAATTCATCTAGTGGTAATTTGCAAACAACCGTTTCATTTTAGAGTTTACCTGTAGTGCTCTACAGATAATTGCACAGCAATGGAAATATTGCAAAAATAATCAGACAACTCTTGCTCTGCCTTAAATCCAGCAAGAAGTAGAAGCCGTTTCTCTTTTTAGGGGAAACCTAATTCAAGTTACAAAGTTTCTTTTGCATATTTGTACCTGGAAGAAAAACCAAAGTTCCTACACCTATAACAGAATGATTGCTTGTCAAGTCCAATATAGCTCTTGTAGCACAAGCTCCAGGCAATTAATATTCGGAGTCACAATTTAAAATTTAACTGAGCTGCAAACATTCAGTTTCTTGGTCGAACTTTTGCAAGACTTCTCTTAAGAAATTCACAAGCTGAAACACATAAATCAAACATCTGCTGCTCTGTCCCACATCAGGAATCACACTCCTTCAGCTGCACATCTCGGAAATAGCGTCAATCCATTGTACAATTGGTACACTTGTGACAATACTTCAACAAAAAGGATGTGGCAAACTACGAAGCAATTTAGCACGTAGCATATCATCTACCTTTACAGTAGCATACATATACTGCTAAGATCTCAGTTGCTGAATTTTACCTGAACAAGAGTGATACGCAATAGATTTCTTAAAATTTGGGTCTTCCATGATGATAAATACTTTTAAGAGTGACTAAATATTTATGCCACAGCTTATGTTATATACATATACATACATACATACATACATACAAAACTTTTATATTATATTATACACATACATACACTTATGTTACGGAATTTATAAGCAGAAGCAAAATCAGTATTAACAGAAGTTCACGAGTACAAACGCAGTTTTTCTCACTCCCACATAGTGAAAAAACCTTCCACAGTTGTCATAGATATAGATCATTACTAACTACCATCAAATGGCAAGTGTAAAACATTCCTTATGAAACAGCGTATCTAGTATATCCAAGTACCGTGAAGGTAAAAATGCCCAGAAGTCTTCTTCTTTAAGAACTGGACACTTTATTCTTAATATAAGAATGGAACTGAAGCTGAGAATATGGAAGGGCAGAAACATAATTCTGTCCTTCACAAACCCTTATTTTTCACGACTCAGAAAATAAAAGTGTTCACATATAATATACATATGCAAAAAGACCATCCAAGGAAACTTAAGTTTACAGACTTACACAAGTCAACCCAGACACTACGTTTAAAAGATCTAAAAATTACCCCATTCGTCTCCAGCAAACGATCCATCTTCTTTCTGAAAGCTCTGTATATATTCAACGATTTTATTTATATCAACTACATGGAGACTGTCATAAAAGGTAAGAATCTGGGGGCGGGGGGGGAAGATACAATAACAATCAAAGAGAAGCAAAAATTTAAAAAATTTATTTCTTA